CCCCCAAGGCGGCCGCCACGCCCGCCAGCGGCTCCCGCGGAACCCGCAAGCGCAACTCCGCCGGCCAGGCCAAGGGTGGGTGGGCGGGACTTTTGAAACAGGCGGCGTTTCGAAAGTCTGGGATGCTCGGGGATCTGGTTTTGAATGCAGATTTTCCTTGCACACATGGCAACGCAAGGCACAAGTTTGCGGTGTGTTTGCAATGCCTTGGGGATGGTTCCTTAGGTCCCACAGCTGGTGCTGATGTGGACAAGGAGCCAGCTAAGGCTGACGCTTGCAATACACCACTCCAGGCCGCCCTCTGCTGGCCCAGCGACCCACGCGCGTCGTACCATGCGCGACCATGAACCCATCTGGTGCTATCCTGCGGTGTGCCCCGGGGGCATCCCACCGCCCCCGTACGACCAGACCTTAGTACCCATTCACTTCTCGGTGAAAACCCCCAGCCCTGCCCGAACCCTCCTCTCTCCGCAGCGGCCTCGACCGACGCCGCCCCGCCCGCCGCCGCCGCCGCCACTGCGGCCGTGGTGTCCCTGGAGAGCCCCGTGGTGGCGGCCAAGGCCATCAAGAACGCGGCTGAGCTGGAGGGCATGAAGGAGGCGCACCTGCGTGACGCGGTGGCGATCTGCGACTTCCTCTGCTGGCTGGAGGAGGAGGTGCGGCCCCGGGGTGCCGGTTTGATTGTCCATACAGCCTGGCAGAAGGAGAATCCGAGGGTTTGGTCGTTTTTCCAGCGAGCAGCTACAGGGGCGATGCACAATCAATGCAAGGCAGGGGCCACTAAGGTCGAGGGCTTCGCTGCGCACACGGCTGCTAGCCATCAGGCTGCGATGGTTTGTCCTGCTGTCGGCTGCTTGGACATTTCGTCGTTGCGTGCAACCCCGAGCCGCCTGCCTCCCCCGGCCGTGGCTGGCCCTCCTGCCGGTCACAACCTCAGTGTGCGGTGCCTCGATCGATCGCCGCAACCCACCCCCTTGCACCCCAGATCGCTGCCGGCAAGACCCTGAGTGAGGTGGAGGTGGACCTGCAGCTCACAGGGCGCAGGAGGCAGCAGGTGCGCACACGTGCTCGCCTGCTCACCCAAATGTGGGGTACAGGGGGCGCCCGCCCAAACGGCACGGCAGCTTGCTAGAAGCGCGGTGTTCGCTGCCTTGTACAGGCGTGTGCTTGTGCGAGTTGAGACGTCAGTAGGCAAGAGCCAGCGTGTGCGAAGAGCCCCCTTGCCACAATAGCATCTAATTGCACTAGCTCTCTTCACCATTCGCCGTCCAACCGCACGACCATGCCCCGCAACTCCCGCCTTTGCCCCCCTGTGCCCCAGCCCGGCTTTGTGGAGCCCAGCTTCCCCACCATAGCGGGGGCGGACAGCAACGGCGCCGTCATCCACTACCGGGCGAAGGAGGAGACCGCCAGGTCAGCAGTAGCCTGGTTGGGCTGGGCTAACCTTGTATGTAGTGGCCTGCGCTCTTTCTTGGCGCATGTCTACTGCCGGCTCACTGGCTGACGCCCTCCGCTGTCACACATCCGTCACATCTGCTGTGTTGGCGCATTAGACAGCTGGACAGACTAGCTGCCCTGCTGTGCATTTGCGGATGGCTTTTTATAAAGCGCTGGTGTCATCTTCAAAGTCTCTTCGATATGTGCACACGAGAGCTTACAAACCGTGCGCACCCCCTCAATCTCAGCCCCTAGGTGCTCATCAACCCCTGGGCCCCACACAACACAATGGCCTCCCTAACATGCACCGATTGCTCTACTTCTTGCAGGACTGTCTCTGGCTCCACTCTGCTGCTGCTCGACTCTGGCGGCCAGTTTGACTGCGGCACGACAGACATTACGCGCACCATGCACCTGGGGACACCGGACGAGTACCAGCGCCGCTGCTACACGCGCGTGCTGCAGGGGCACATCGGGCTCGACAGGGTGGGCGGCACACGCGATGCTCAACAGGGCGCTGCCGGCGTATTTTGCTTACGTTGCGCTCCGGTCTCGGCTCAGGGGGTGTGATATGCTGTTTTCCTGGTTGGACCAGGCGTCTGGTTTGCTGGTCACTGATTTGAACGGCCTCTACTCTTCAGGCACCAGGCAGCAGCCGCCCGTCGTGCCATCCGTTCCTCGCCCCCTTTGTGCACCCCTGCCATTTCATGCAACCTGGACGCTCACCACCGCCCGCGCAATCCAGGCCTACCTCCGCCCCACCACCAAAAACCCCAACCGCCCCTCACCGCCCCTCCAAAAGGTGGTCTTCCCGGAGGGCACCCCAGGCTCCGCCGTCGACGCCCTGGCGCGCCTGCCCCTGTGGGCGGAGGGCCTGAACTACCGCCACGGCACGGGCCACGGCGTGGGGGCAGCGCTCAACGTGCACGAGGGGCCGCAGTCTATCAGCACGCGCTACTGGATCACCACGCCCCTGCAGGTTTGGGGGGGGGGGGTAGCAAGGGGGTTGGCTGGGGCGACCTCCTTCGAATACACACACACACACACACACACACACACACACACACACACACAC